TGGAGGCTAAAATTTGCCACCGAATTATTTAAACCTACTTTCGCTCTCTAAACGTTACTTCAACTAATTTTATGAAAAAAATAGCTTTCAATAGTTACAAACTCTTTTTTTAAAATCTACAAACTCCCTTTAGTTTTTGTTTGTCGAACAACTTTAATTAGGATCACCAACAAGCTACAAAAGTCAAGTTATGAAATAAGTTTATTTTCATCGGGATCACCAATCACTAGGGGTGAGCGTGAGTCGGGTTTGGACGGGTTAAGGTTTGTCCTTACCTGGCCCTAAATATTGTTCGGACCATTTTTTTGAACCCGGACCTGACCCTAGACCCGGAGTTAATCTGACCCTAAATATTCACACGGTTAGCCTTTAAACCCGGACCCGACCCTAGACCCGATTAAATATAATATATATGCATTTTACATAAAGTCTTTTAAATATTGTTTATTATTGTGAATATGTAATTTGACATATAAAATAATATGTGTATATATATTACTAAACATGTATATATGATGAAAAAATAGAGAATTAATGATATTTTCGATCAAAAAAGTATCATTACTCTGTATATATTTGAACAGAGACACATACAAACATCATAAGTGAGTGACTATGGGACGGGTCGGGACTGGTCATGCTTGGTCCCTACCCGACCCTAAATATTGACTGGGTCTAATTTTTGAACCTGGACTCGGCCCTAGATTTGATGAAATCTAACCCTTTTCAGGCCCAATCATGATCGGGCCATGCCGGGTGAACGGGTAGGGTCGGGTCCCGCTCATCCCTACCAACCACTTATGCACACACCTTTATTTCAATTCGAATCTCTTGCCATAGTGGGCCACTTTGTGTGCATTATAAATTTTAGTGATTTTTAGTAAGAATAAATCACACTTATATCTCTTGATTTTTAGTGAAATTATACAAATTACTCTTTCATCTTTTAAACCTATATAAACCACCCATAATTATATACATATATTACACTGACCACCCTTGTATGAGAGATAAATGTAATTTCTTAAACAAAAATGGTAACAAATGTAAGTAAGTTGAACAAAATATGATATATTGTGAAGATAAGTCCAAATAGTATAAGAGTCAATGTGTAAAGACCCAAATTCTATCCTTGAAATTTTTTCCTTATTTAATCCAAATTCTATGCATTTAACAATAAATCATAATTACCGAGTGAATAAACTTATTTAAAAGATCTCATTTCTTCCTCACACCCGATCTATGAACCAAAAGTAACAAAACAATTCAGCTAACAGAAAAATATAATTCGTATTAATGTAGCTTAGTAACGTCCGCATACAATTAGCTATGGGTTTACAAAACACCCATAGCTACATATATCTCGAGTTACTAATTTTCATGATTAATATCATGTACAACAATCAGGTTTATAATTACAAAATAATTAGCTCAAGTACAACCAACAAGGTTACAAAAGAATGGATAAGAGACATCAAAATAAAAGTCTCTAAGCTCTAAATCAAAAACACCCATACTCCTTCCACCTACCTGCCATGGGATTAACATTGACAATACACCAAGAAAACACAAAGGAATAAGTCGTTAACTCATTAAATATCAATGTAAGTTAATCCACATTTAATAAGGTTAAATAAACGGTTTAAAATCAAGTTTAATTAAAAGTCAATTTCAACGTTCATACTTTTGAAAACCATGCTACATAACATGAGCCAAAGTTTGCTACATTGCTTGAGTCAAAGATTGCTACATTACTTGAGCCAAAGTTTGCTATATTGCTTGAGCCAAAACTTGCTACATTACTTGAGCCAAAGTTTGCTACATTGCTTGAGCCAAAGCTTGCTACATTACTTGAGCCAAAGCTTGCTACATTAGTTGAGCCAAAGTCGCTAACCAATCATGGTCGGCTAAAAACGAGTTTTATTTCCATTGGCACTCCACCAATACATTTTTACGAGTTTTATTTTCATTGGCACTCTACCAATACAAAAAACAGTAAATACATCTGACATCATTACAAACATATACATATATGCTTATAACTACAAAGTGATTTAAGAATCATTTTATTATTCCGAGTTTTATTTCCATTGGCACTCCACCAATACATATACGGTAAATCCACTCCTCGTTGTTACAAACATACTCATATATGTTTATAACAACTAAGTGATTTACGCTTCATTGCATTATTCCGAGTATTATTTCCATTGGTACTCCACCAATACATATCCGATAAATTCACTCCTCGTTGTTACAAACATACCCATATATGTTTATAACAACTAAGTGATTTACGCTTCATTTCGTCATCCATATTAGAAAATCCATACATTTTCTATCACAGTGCATAAGTTAAAGACTTATTCTTACCTCGGTGAGTGTTGGGTTTGGGTTCTTGGCAACTCCTCAAGTTTCACCGACACCGCCTCCAACTTTAGGATCTTTCCTCATCCCACCATATAACACAAGGTTAGTCACTTATACCAAATATCACATAAACAACTTATATTGCATTATTTAACCATACAAGATATTCATCATATTTTCAACATTAGAAAGTAAACTCAACTTCTACCTCTAGCATTTTAACCATTTTCCATTTTAACCCCATTTTCTCTTTAGGGTTTTGGGGTTTTCATGAACCAACCCACAAACTCTTTCCATCTTCAACATACTAACTCTAAACCAAGAGTTTACAAGAGAAAAATAACATAAAACGAATCATAACTCAAAAGAGTGAGTTTCCATGGTTTCCCTCATTTTTTAGAAGAGATCCATAATACCAAAAATGGGTTTTCAAGAGAAGAAGGGAGTTAGGATAGAGAGTTTTACCTCTTCTCAAGCTCTTGAGCAAGAATCAAAGCTCCTAGACCTTGGGAATGCTATCTTCTCTCACCTTTCTTCAATTCTTAACCTAAAAATGTATTTGGGGTTTCCCTCATTTAATGCTCTCATCGGGTTCTCGCTTAAGCGAGCTTATTCTCGCTCAAGCGAGAAAATCCCGCCCATTTTAAAAACTCAGATCTGACCCTCTCGCTCAAGCGAGGGATTCTCGTTAAGCGAGAATCTCACAGTCTCAACAGTCCCAAAATGCCATTTCTCGCACAAGCGAGACAACTCTCGCTCAGGCGAGAATCCTCTAGTGTAACCCAGGATTTCACCCTCCCAGGTGAACATCTCTCGCCCAAGCGAGAATCTTTCGCTCAAGCGAGGATCCCAGGACTGATACTATAATTTTAAAGACTTAAAATTTAGGGTGTTACACAATGTATATTCATTATTTTGGTTAGTTATAATATAATATAAGAGTGATTTAAACATCTCCTTAGAATTATTAATACACTTTGTAATAAACAAAAAATAATGAATAGACATTAATCTTATATTATTTGGATTGTCTTCATAGTATAACATATTTTATTTGACTTAATTACACTTATCATCATTTTTTGTTTAAAAAATTACATTCATCTCTCTTACAAAGGTAGTCAGTGTAATATATGTATATAATTAGAAATGATTTGTGTAGGTTTAAAAAAGGATAGATAGTTTGTATAATTTCACTAAGTATTAGATGTAATATTTCCTTAACCATGGAGGCCAAAGAGAGAAAGTACAACTCTTGTATAGTAAATGTCAAATCATTTTCATACAATACTTTCTCATCTAATCAAATAATGTCATCTCATATGTATTACAAGAGTGATTACAACATTATTTTGTATGTTTTAAGTTTGCATATAATAATATTTAATTTTCAACATATTATGTCTTTTACATTTTGTAAATAGTAAAATCATATGTTATGCGAAATAAACATACATTAGTTAATATTTATCAATGTTATTAAAACCATACCGGTTATCAAACTGATCAGGGTATTAGTATAGTGGTACAGTGGTTCAACCAGTGTTTCAGTAATTAAACTACATGCCGGTTAAACCGGACATACTTGCTTATATATATATATATATATATATATATATATATATATATATATATATGTAAACCTATAACAAAAAATTTCAAATAAGTGGGTATTCAGATTTATAATTCATATTCATGATCTACTCCAAATTAACAAAAACAAACAACATTAAGTCTTTAACAAAATCAAAGTCTAAAGTGCAAAACATATATTAATCCAAAATTATCACTTAACAAACACAAAATACAAATAAATGACACAAATATCAATTATTGAAGTTGAATAATTAGTGAAGAATTGAAAATTTGAAATTAAAAAAAAAATTAATGTACAAACCGGCCGGTTTAAACCGGTTCACCGTTTCTATTGTATATGCGGTATAACATACGTATCGTACCGGTTATGGGTCCGGTTCACCGGTTTTCCGGTTGAACCGGCCGGTACGGTATGGTTTTTACAACATTGATATTTATGCATACATGGTGGATGAAATCATAAAGAAGATGAACAATTTCTGAATGAAGCTTGTACAACTTTGCATCTATTGTGAAAACAAGGAATATGTGACAAAGTCAATGTGACATAAGGATGGCAATGGGTCTAGATGGGTCCGGGTAGTACACTATCCGGACCCGCCCATTCTTTCATTTTGGGACCCAGACCTACCCCAGACCCAGACAGATACCCGTCGGGTCTGCTACCCACGGGTCTATGGGTACCCATAGGATCAACGGGTACCCAAAAATTCACATAATATTTAAAAAATTGCAAAAAAGTTATATATCGTAAAAAAAATTATAATCCAACATGTGAGAATAAAAAAAGAAGCAAATGATAAAAAAATTATAAAATATAATTAAAACATAACTCACAACTCTAAATTGTACTTAAATACAAATCTTTTTTTTTACTAAAAGCATAATTTAAAATAAGTCAATAACACATCAAATATCTAGGATCTCTTCATCAACAACACATGGAACAATTGGTTCCTGCAAAATAAAAACATACAATTTAAAGATATAACAATTAACTTTATAGATAAGAACATCAATTTTTTTATTAACATCATCATCATCGATATCTTCTAGTATAGTATTTGTAATAAAATTGAAGTTCTCTCTTGATTTGGAAGATCCTGAAAACATAAGAATAGGTGTATGAAAATATAGTTTTATAATTTATGGATAATTAAACATGGATAATTAAATTAATAAATTACATTACCTCTTACATCAGTGCATCCAATCTTGAAGGCACATTAATGCCTCCAATGTATGTGGGCGTAATCTACTACGATGAGGAGTAAAGAATCGACCACTAGTACTGAATGCAGACTCCAAAGCAACTATAGAGATGACAAATCCTTAACAATCCTTAACAATCATTTGCAAGGTATGATATTTTGCCCCATTTGTTTTCCACCAATTTAAGATGGCAAATTCACATTCTGTTCTAGGCAATAGTGATTCCTCTAAGTAGCCGTCTAACTCTGACTTGTAATTTGATGAGTTGTAATTTTCAATAACATATTTATCAAAATCCGCATCATCACCTATTATAAGTTAGGGTTAGAAATTAGAAAATAAGGAAATTAAGATTTAAGGAGGAAGAGTAGCTGTTAGGGTTAGAAATGAGAAAATAAGGAAATTGAGGTTATGTTTATATATATATATATATATAGAGGAGGGATCCACTTACTCCAAGAGTAAGTGAAAAAGACTTACTCTTCATCTTGGCCATCTAATCTTGGAAAATCTAATGGTTTAGATGTAGTCACTGTAACGCCCCGAAAATTACTTCAATAATCTTGCTCGAAAATGGGTAAAAAAATTTTTTTTTTTTTGAATAAAGGAGCCATAAAAATTTATGTCCTTATCTTCGTTTCATTTTCGGAACATCACTTAAGTAACATACAATGCGGAAAATCACAACCATTACTTAATGGTAACTAGAAAAACTCAATATAACTTTGAAATCATACTTCATTAGAAAATGTTGGTACAGGTACAAGGCGGAATCCTAATCGTCGCCCAAATAAAAACTACTACAAAATAAATTCCCTACACAAGTACACTAATCAAAAGTACAAGGGCCTGTGTAGGTATAACAGATTCCCTCAATCCTCCATGCCCCCTCCTGGGACATCGAAAAGTGGTAACTCTGAATCCCGATCGAACGATCCATCTGAACAAACGCGGATAGAAGACAAAAAGAAAGAAGAGGGGGAGTAAAACATCTAATGAAAAACTTATCATTGACGTCGTGGAATTACACAGAATAATACACCAAGACAACACATGAGTACATATATATCATGCGATTATACAAGCACATAAAAACAATGAATGAAATATAAAACTCGAGGATTTAGAAACAATATCAAAGAATATCATGTATGCAATGCGATGCATGAGTCCACCATCCTTACTCCTTTATCCTCCCAATAACTATTCGGAAATAACCGAGAGTACAGGTCCCATAACAAGCCGATTTGAACGCACCAAAATATTCCTCGCAAGGATATATGATCGATCTGTTCCAAAGAACTGTCCATTTCAGGACGGTGTCGTATCAAACACTTTCTGGGCATCCCTCTCATCGATCCTGATTGCAAAGAGGGGTTGTCAGAGATCATCTAGTTTGCGCTGTGAGAACTGTCCGATCCAACAGAATACCTCATCCAGGAATACAAGGGACTCGTCTCACCTAGACTCACCCTCAAGACTTTGCTGACGAATCACCGCCATCGTCGTCCCTCTCAACATCTCGGGGCTCGTTCGTCTCCCGTAAATTTCCTCTCCACTACTTCATTATTCATAATGAGTATGCACACTAACCGAGGTTAGCCAATTAAATCTTTTAATCATTCTTTTAAATGATCGGCCCAACCTAAGACATCTCCCAAAGGAATGCTTCTAGTGGGTCCCGATCTTAACACATATAACAAAAAGAGAGAATAATTTCGGCACCACTACGAACCATCGCTGAATTATCCTGGACGGCTCCTCTAGCCAAGCCTCTTACGGTCAAATAATCTCGCTGCGTGGGCATAATATCACACCCTCGACCTCGCCTTTAACAAAGCAATTCCTTACTTTTATTACTTTCAAGAATTTCATATAGTTGTTTACCTTTACAAATTCTTGATGGCAAACATGCCATTGGGCTCTCGTATATATGAGAGTTATCATTCCGACGACTTAAAAAGAAGTCATGTTTGTATGGAGCCCGCTCGCTCAAGCGAGAGCTGTCTTGCTCAAGCGAGATGCTTCCATTTTTGAGGCATTTGTGGCTTAAGCAAGAGCTGTCTTGCTTAAGCGAGAAAACAATCAGTTCTCTTGGTGCCTATTTTAGCTCAAGCGAGAGCTGTCTCGCCTCGAGCTAAAACACTCGTTTTCTCTATACACTTCTCGCTCAATCGAGAGTTGTCTCGGTCAAGCGAGAAGAACCTAAATATCATTTTAATTACTTTTCTCAAGGAAAATATTTCTCATTTATATCAAATGTTTTTAAACCTTGAATTTCAAAATTATCACATACATATCATTCCCATAATAATCATTCAAACATTATAATTCAAGAGTAAACATGATATTTGCATATATAAACATAACATAAATCGGTATTAAGAAATATTGATGTACTTAATCCAAACAAACATGCAATTGATTAAGTACAAGCTTTCTTAATACCCAGGGCAACTCCAAACTTGTGAGGGAGTTTGGAGGTCCTGATGCATATTCGGACACCACTGTGTCACGATGTTTTCTCCCTCACCTGAGTGTGTCGGGTCGTTAGGTTCTCTGTTTGTAGGTGAGCTTACTTGATCCGTTCTCCTCTCGAAATCTTTATTATGCCAAAATAACGTTAATTAGTGAAATGACGATAATTATTATACTTACGAAATAACTTTTTACGCGAAGATAAAACTTCTGATTTAAAATGAATTTAATTGCTTTCGTCCATCCAATTCAAGGTTGAATATCCTTGAATCATCATTTGTCATCGAAAGTCTTACAATCAAATAATACTTTTTAAAGTAAAATTTTCAATAAAACTTATACCGAAATTATGTCGTAATCCGTGGATATACACCAGGCTAGTTCCCAGGAAAGAGAGGTGGGTCATAAAGACACCCTTAAATACCAAATCTTTCCTTAGACAGAACCTTTCTAGACATGTATTCCCACTTCATTTATGTCGTAATCCGTGGATATACACCAGGCTAGTTCCCAGGAAAGAGAGGTGGGTCATAAAGACACCCTTAAATACCAAGTCTTTCCTTAGACAGAACCTTTCTAGACATGTATTCTCACTTCATTTATGTCGTAATCCGTGGATATACATCAGGCTAGTTCCCAGGAAAGAGAGGTGGGTCATAAAGACACCCTTAAATACCAAGTCTTTCCTTAGACAAAACTTTTCTATACATGTATTCCCACTTCATTTATGTCGAAATCCGTGGATATACATCAGGCTAGTTCCCAGGAAAGAGAGGTGGGTCATAAAGACACCCTTAAATACCAAGTCTTTCCTTAGACAGAACCTTTCTAGACATGTATTCCCACTTCATTGTATTTTTCCGATAATTCATAAATCTTATTTTTTGTAAGTAAAACATTTTTACTAAAACTAACCTTTTTACTTTTTTAAGTAAATCTTACCATTTTAAAGTAAGTTCACTTAACTAAGATTCAACATTTTTAAATCATTTTACCATCTAAGACTTCATAACACTTTAAGTTTATAAAGTCAAGACTTTTAGGTAACTTTCATTATTTCAAGTATACTACTAAAGCAAATTTTCATGAACATCTTAACACCTCCTAATTTTTTTGGGAAAAACCTCAAGGGTTAGTAAGTGTTATTTTCATAGTCATGAAAAAGAATGGCTCTTAATTTAATATTTTACATTTAAACATCTTTTAGTTATTCTTACCACTTTAAAGTAAGTCAACTAAAATAAATACAACAATTTCTATGAACATCTTAACACCTCCTAATATTTTAGGAAAAACCTCAAGGGTTAGTAAGTGTTATTTTCATAGTCATGAAAAAGAATGGCTCTTAATTTAATATTTTACATTTAAACATCTTTTAGTTATTCTTACCACTTTAAAGTAAGTCAACTAAAATAAATACAACCATTTCTATGAACATCTTAACACCTCCTAATATTTTAGGAAAAACCTCAAGGGTTAGTAAGTGTTATTTTCATGGTCATGAAAATAAATCATAATGTAAGACTTTCTACTACTTTAATATCTAAAACTTCATAACACTTTAAGTTTATGAAGTCAAGACTTTAATAAATCATCTTTTATCCCAAATCATTATTTTAACTTGGGAATCAAAGAGTAAAATATGTAAACAACTTTTAAAACATAATACTATCTAAAAATGAAATATTTTCAACAACTCATTAACATCATAAACTTTCAAGAATAAAATACAAACTTTTTCCTAAACACATTAAAGGTTCCTTTGATGTTAAAATCATCACCTTTAAACATATTCAAATACTAACAATAATTTATAATATTTCCAAATAAATAACTCATCTAACCTTGTCCAAAGATATAGTTTTTCCATCTAAGAACAAGGAAGAAATTTCAAGATTTACAAAAGTCAAAAACTACATAAAGGTTCATATGATTTTATTATCATCCCCTTTAGTTATGCTTTCATAAAATACTTAAAGAACAAATATAAACTCTACTTTATGAACAAAATAATAAAAGCTCATAACTTTCTATGAAGTATGAGAAGAAGATGAAGAAGATAAAATAAAAGACTACCTTAGTTTGTATAAGGAATTTAGTGTAAAAATGAGAGGATGATGTGAGGTATTTATAGGAGAGCCTCACCCTCATCAAATCAGAAAATTTAATGCAAAGTAAGTAGCTTTAGACTAGCATAGGTGATGTGTCTAATGGTGGTGGAGTGAGAGGATTTGTTGAGTGTTTTAGGGGTTTTGGAAGCTTTTGCATTACTTGTGTAACAAGTAAGTGGCTCATGCAATGATGACTTCCAACTTTATTGATATGATGTAATTTCCCAATAAATGTCGTGTCCGAACATCTTCGGATAATTTCGTCCGAAAATATACAATCTCCCGATTTTGGTTTACGGTTAGAACTTCGAAACACAGAATTTGGAGTGAAAATATTTAGAAATGCGTTCTGGATGAACTTGATGTCTATCTTGACTCAAAATAATATTTCGAAGCCAATGGTGCAATCGGAATTCGATTCCGAGTTACGGAACTCAAAAACACGTTATTGGGCCGAATTCGGGCTATTTGGGCCCGACGACAATTCAAAAATATTTCGTCACAGAAAATTACGAAAATTTACCATAAAATAGGAAATCACAAAACAAGACTAATATTCAACTATGGCTTAGCCTAAATCCACACTGATTAATTTCTACAATTAATCGTTGATAAAATAAATAATTAATAAAAACTCATAAACATTTATAATTCCAAATCAGGAAATTCGTGGTGTTACAGTCACCAATTCAAAT